GGAGCAGCTAGTGGTTCACATTGCATCCAAGCACTTTAATCACTGTGTCACCAGAGATCCTTTTTGCTAAGAGGAGAGTCAAGAAAACCCTATGGGGTAGTTCTCCTCTGTAACACATGGGGTTTCTAAGTCAGATTCCACCAACTTTTGTCACTCAGTTGAAAGATTTACACATGAAGAGAATTTGTCATCAAGACATTTTAAAAAAAGACCAACAAAAAACAAACTAAGAATGTAACAAAATTCTCAAAACCACCATTCATTGGAAATACATCTTTCCCCTAACTAAAATATTAATACATACCCTGAGGTTTCAAATCTGCAGATGCCCATAGCTGATGGTGTTTGTGAGTGAACCATGAAATGACAAAATGGTGTTGGCCAGAGCGGTGTTTCTCAAACTTCAGGGGACAGCAGAGTCACAGATGGCTGGCACCCACCTCTACAGTCTGATTCAGTATATCTGGGCCATGAAGCCTAAGAACTTGCATTTCTGACAAGTGATGTTGGTGTTGCTGTCTCTGACACTGCATGTGGAAAACCACTCAGCAGATTTGGGAGAGGATTAAAGACCTTCCCAGGCAGCTGATAGGAGTAACATTTCTCATATGGCTCCCAGTAATTCTCTTGTCCACTTCCTGGTATATGGTAAAAATGCCTGACTGTGCATTTGTATTGCCTGGATGCTGTAGGATAAGCACTGGACTGCTAACCACAAGGCCAGCAGTTCAAACCCACCAACCGCTCCTTGGAAACACGGAGTTGGTCTGCCCATTTGTTCAATCTTTAGCAATTCCTTTTCCGTTTTTTTTCTATGAAGGTAGCCCAGAAACGAAGAGGCTAGTAACACTGTTATTAGTTGCCACTGAATTGATTCCGACTCATAACAGCCATATGCACAAAAGAATGAAAACGTCCCAGTCCTGCGCATTCCGCACAATTGTTGTTACAAGCAGTACGTTTCGAAAGAAAAAAACAGAAAAAAGACAAAGATTCACCAAACAGGTTCTATATACTGGTTATCCATGTACCTCTGGAGTCCTGATGTGGTGCTGTGGGCTAATGCACTGGGTTGCAAAAACGAGACACCAGGAAAGCAAGAGGCCCCAAAACACAGACACTCAAAACACCGTTTGAAAAGCTAGACTGTTGACTTTAACCACAAGCCTGATGGAACCATCTGGTGATGAGTTTGGGGCTGGAGGCAATGGAATGGAATCTCTTAGTATATAGGGAGAGTCTCCAAATGGCTTCAGTTTATTCAGGCCAGATTTGGAGAAACTATTTGGAATTACTTGCCAGTCTGATTTGCCCACCCAACGTGAGAAGGGAATGGTTTGGTAGCACTGTTTCTTTTTGAAAAATATGTTTCCGGCTTTGAAGTTGGTGACATGTTATCTCTCCTGCGCCCCGTTCACTTAAAAGCAATCCTTTATTTGATGTGGTCCTTATATTTTGCTTAGGTATTTATTTCATATCCGGTTTGAAAACCTGATATCCTGAGGTATTTATTTTTATACTAAGCAAGAGACTCTTTGAGAATGGTGAATGTTCTAGATGCAACATTAATCCTCTTCATTGCACTTCTTATGGAAAAGCTAGAGGAGGAAGCAAATTTGTCATTTGTCCTTAAGGGATTAAAATCTTTAGCATTTTTATTCTGGCCATATACTAGCCCAAAAGTTCAAATATGAAATACCCAGGTATTCACGTAATGTTTTTATGTGTTTTTTTTTTTTTTGTCAGTTGTTTTTCCCATGTTCTATTCCAAATCATTTATAATCTCTTTGTCTTTCTGTATCTCTGTATCTTTCAGATGCCCCCAATGTATACTAATGTCATAGAGAACACACTTTCAGAAAACTTGCTTCTAACCCATTGCCATAGGGTTTCCAAGGCTATGATCTTTATGAGAGCAGATTTCCATATATTTCTTCCCCAGGGTGGCTTGTGGGTTAGAGCCGCTGACCTTTTGGTTAGCAGTGGAGGGTTTTAACAACTATGCCACCAGGGAGTTATTTTATTATTATTACTTTTTGGTTTCGAGCATTCTCCAGGGTGTTTTCTTGTAATGTCAAATAAAGAGGAGATAGTTGTTGTCAGGTGCCATCGAGTCGGAACCGACTCATAGCGACTCCATGCACAGCAGAACGAAACAATGTTCGATCCTGGGCCAACCTCACCACC